CGACGGAGTACCTACGTCCCGTCGTTCGCGCAACTGCCTTCAATTACACTTGATATCGTTCCCGTTCGTTCTCTCTCGCGTGTTGCGACGCCCATCGACTTTGATTTGTCGTCACGCAAAGCCGATCGCTTCGTTTCGCTCGCTTACACGCCCGCAATTTCTTTGGCGAATAGAGAGAGAGAGAGAGAGAGAGAGAGAGAGAGAGAAAGAGAACGGAAGAGGGAGAGTGAGAGAAAGAGAAAAAGAGAAATAGAGAAAGAGAGAGACGAAACGGCTCTCGCGAGTTAGCTGCTAGAGTGCATACTCGTGCGAACTATTACCCTTCCCTACGTTACTCCCTATCTAGCACCTTTCGACACGCGCGTTTATCGATTGTAAAGCCGATATATTCGCTCGTCCGAAAGCAAATCGCCTTTATCGTCTTCTGACCTATCTTCTCTATAATGTCCTCCTTTTCCTCTCTCTCCCTCTCTCTATGCCGTCTTGAAATCGTACGGATATTGGAGGATGAGCGACATAGCAAATCCTTGAATCATTATGCGTCATCAATCTATACGATCGCAAATTCTCAAATTTAATTGAATCTTTTACGACGTGAAATATAAACTCGCGGAATCGTTTAAATCAATTCTTCGTGTGATTTCGAATCTTCATATGAGAGAAGATGAGAGAACTGAAAAGACAAAGTAGGTTAGATGAAAGTACATCGTGTAAGCTTTAACGATAACTAAGGAGTAAGACCGACGACGCGAAACCGGCGAACGTGACCCTAGACATAGGTACAACGCGAAAGCGACAGGTGCACCATCGACGTTAATCGTTATTACACGTATAAGCTACCATAAGGGTTCTTGCTTGATCGCCTTTATCCCTACTTGCCTTTACCTCCTACCTCCTACGCGTTTCATCGTCGGGACATGACTCGAATACTCACGGAAGATCTTCGCTTGCTTTACTGGAAAGAGAATCTGAAGAAATATCTATGTTTCTTTTTTCTTTTCTTTTTTCTTTTTCTTTCTTTTCTTGTTTGTTTTCTTTTTTTTTTTTTTTTTTGGCGATTCATCCGAAAAAGGATACAAACGATTCAGCTTATCTTCCCTTCCTTTTCGTTTTTATTTCTCGTCGTTGAATTAAAAAGAAAGTTTACTTTTCCCAATTGTTTCCTCAATAACAAAGTAAAACAATAAATATAATTCACACGTAAGCAATCATCCGAATCTATTAGTCGCCCAACTGATAGAACAGTAGAGAACACATTAACGGATCAAAAAGATAATATCCCTTGTAACTGCATAATAGATTTAGCTAATATAGAACGTTCACTAACATAAAACCAACTGTGAATAATTTAAAATTACTTTCTATGCCATTGTATCACGTCAGTCTAAATTATTTATAATTTTTAACGCGAGAATCGATTTTAATGTATTCAATAATTAACAAAAAAAAAAAAAGAAAAAAAAAAGAAAGAAAGAAAAAAAATGTAAAACGTAAATTTCACGAAGAATAGTCGAAATTAATTGATCAAGAAAAATCGACTGTTTACTCCTTTTTTATTCATAGCACGACAAAGGCAACGAATTTTATCTTACCTTATTTGGTTTGACATAACACTTATTAGTACACCAATAAAATAGATTTTCTTTGAGATATTATTACGTTCATGAGCTGAGCTTCCGTGATACTTTACTTGAGAACGAATGAACGTCTCTTCTTGGAGGAAGGATCGATCGATCGCTTCGCATCTACCTGCAGGCGGATTAATTGCGGTAACGTGAGAAGCTGGCAATTTCGAAGCGCGGAACGAAATAAGGGTAGCTAAAGGAGAAAGAGAAAGAGAAAGAGAGAGAGAGAGAGAGAGAGAAAAAGAGAGAAAGTGAGAGAAAGAGAGAACAAAAAAATGTCGTGAAATTACTCGAGCCGTAGGAGGAAAAAAGGATCCGGTTACTAACGAGATCGCGGCCAGTCTCGCGTTAACGAAAGAAGGAAAGAGGAAATTGAGCGATGACCGAAAAGTCGAGTGAGAGTTGAGATAAAAAGCAAAAGGATAGATTGATAGATAGATAGAAACATGAATACGTACTTATATGTGTGTGTGTGTGTGTGTATTAAAGTATATACTCTGCTACTATATTATAGTACATACCAACCTATATAGATAAATAGTGGAATGAACAAGGGATCATGAAGTCAGAATGAGAGAGAAAAAGAAAGAAAAAAAGAAAGAGACAGACGTGAAGGGATAATGTAAAAGCAGGAAATGATGAGATTCTAGACAAAAATAATATAGTAATGATGGTAGGAAAATGAAAGCATACTGATTATCGAATAACTCAGAAATCTTTCTCGATGTTAAACGTATTATATTTTCTATGACTGCTATCACGTCATCGGATAGAACGATAACAGAATAATTTGGGTGGGGTTTTTATTTCGTTTAGTCGCTAAAAGAAATAAAGAAAAAATTGGTGTTTCTCATCTGGATAATAGTAAGCTGATAAGTAATTAGAAAGATATAAAGATACAAATATCGCAGATCTAGAAATTCATGTGCGTTAGTATATATTATACATCATGACTATACATCGACTATGATTTATAAGACAGGTTACAAGGTATAGGAGGGAAAGGGAAAAGGCAAAGTGCATGTTCTCGTGGGATACCGCGATGATTTAATTGAGCATGCCACGCGTGGCTGTGTCCAATCAGCTAACTGATCAGCGAGAAGCAGAACGAGTATGTGCAGAGTAGTTAGGAAACGCGTATGTAGTCGGATCGGTAGTCACCTGGCGATACGACGTGCCGATCGCCATCGTCGTATAATCCCAACGTCGTCCTCCAGCAGGCAGCGCTTAGTTAATTGAAAATTAACCAACCGTCCGTCCATCTCTGCAGGACCTCCACTCTCTAATCACGACTACCCTACGTGCACGCTCTCTCGTTAACCCGATATGCTGCAAGCATGGTACCAGCCGCGAATCAGCGTACCCGAGCTTGCAAACTCGCGAACGTACAACACTATATGCCTATTGATCTATACATACTCGATTTTAGAGAGAAACGATTTCACGAATTTGACATGAAAGAACACTTTTATATCTGTCTTCCGTCCAATCGATATAATTTCATTAACTTTCATTCCTCTCTCTCAAAAAATACCATTAATCCGTATAGAAATAAATAAATGTATAGATAACTTTTTCTCTGGCTATCTATTAGAGAGGTAAATTTAAGGAAAGTTGGGAAACTGATTGTGACGTTTCACCGATATTAGAGCAGAAACAATAACAAAGTTCGTATCTTTATATCTCAACTCAACGAACGGACGAAGGCTTTCCATAGTTCTTAGCTTTCACGTGGATAAGTAAGATTCAAGAGAAACTCCTAAATTTAACGAACCACCAAGTGGAAATCGGTTTCTCCGATGAGATAACGCTTCTTTTTTTTTCTTTTTTTTTTTTTTCTTTTTTTTTTCTTTAGATAAAAAGTATATATAAATATCGTGATCACGAGAGGCCATACATTTTACTCCGTATTTATTTTATCGAGTATGATTTATTTGAATACGAATCAATCCGGGAACGATGTTAATTCGAAAGAGAAACTATGTTGGTTCGAAAATAAAGAAAGGGGAAAAAAAAAGTCGATTTTAATATCCATCGCCCCTTATGACGATCCACAAGCAAATCGCAGAGAGAAAGTGAATGAAGTCTATGGCAAAATAAAAAATTCTAAATTATTCGCAATGCGTTAGCGATAGACGCAACGGAGAAACTAAATTAGCCGTTCTTTCATAAAACTCGTAAAAAAGTTTCACTCGAAAGTTTAACGTGGTATTTTACATCTCAGCTACTGGACTAACACAATAAAAAGTTTTTCGTCTCCCGCTCGAATATAACTCCAATTCGTATCTCACGATGTATTTTACCGTGGGATCGCGATCCGGCATTCGTGCGAATAAACGAATGGAATACGCCCGGAGATAGGAAGGTTGAAAATATCTTTTCCGAAATGTACGTGAACCAGTCTTCTCCATAACTTATATCCACTCGTATTCTCCTCTTTCTTCTCCCAAGAGTGCGGGAGAAGTGGAATATCAAAATATAATATAGTAAAATATAATATGCTACTTTTTCATCCTTTAAGATTTACAGAATTATTACTTCTTCGAAATATCCGTGATATAGTTATTATAAAGGAGAACGATCGATGATGATGGGCCCGTATGATAAAGAATAAGAACGATAAACGTCTCATTGATGAGAGTAGACCGATAAGGACCGAGAAAAGAGCAGAGACTTCGTAATAGGAGAGGGTTAGATTAGAGGTCAGATGAAGCAAGACCGAAATTACCTCGACTAGCCGTATTCACTTCCCGCTGTACTTCCATCTTTTCATCCCATTCCCTTTACCTCCTCATCTTCGTACACACATATCGTATATCTCCGAGTTCATACACCCTTTTCCTCTACGCTCGAGTTCCTAACAGAAGAGCGACACGGCCAACAGAGTATCATTGCTACGGCCGCCGTCGCTGGCAACGCAGCTCACGGTGAAATTAGTTTTCAGGATTATTTCGCAACGGGAGTCCTTAACGATAGTCCCTTACCCCGCTTACCTCGTATTTTCCCTCTAAATCGTTATCTCTTCATCTCCAACGCGTGTCCATGCATTTCCATAACCTTTCGGGAGGATTGTGAATTTTAAATCTCTCTTTTTCACAGGAAGAATCTCGATAAATACTCGAGAATGGCTCGAGAACTCGAAACGTCATTTGTTTATCCTATTTTTCGAGATACTCACCGAGAATTCATATATTAAAGTCATGCGATACGTCATTGATAATTATTATGGAAGAATCTGATGAAAGAGAAACCGACGATCGTCGACAAAATGACGAATACAATTACGACGATAAAGAACGAGAAAAGGAAGAAGATACGAAGGAAAACGATGAAAAAGAAAAAGAAGTAGTAGTAATAGTAGAAAAAGGAGAAGAAGAAGAAGAAGAAGAAGAAGAAGCAGAAGAAATGTATGTAGTGGAAGGTGAAATGAAAATTGACGAGGAAGAGTACGAGGAAATAGAAGGTGATTGATCTTTGATAGTTCTCGATCATCTCGTTTGGCCGTTTAATTTTCTCCATTCGTATCGTTTCTACGAAATATAGATAAGGATTGGGAAGAGAAAGCGAAAAAAATAATTAGTATAGATCTCGCCGATGATTTTCCCGAACGAAGTAAAACCATATACGAGTTAGATTCCTATGAAGCCAGTGGCCCTTCATTTTATGATATCTTACAACTTGGTAAAATAGATGAAGTCCCATCAAAACAACAAGAAATTCATTATTCCACGTCTATGGTTAAATATTAATTTATTGATTGAGATAAAATATAACTTCTCCTTAGGAAAGAAATATTCTTTTTTTTTTTTTTAATCTAATCTTTAGGGTGCTGGTGTAGCAAGGATCGATTTATCTCCTTCAATTCAACAAACGATCGGTTGCGTCATCGGTGAGAATGTCACTACGGAATATCCATGGGTATGGGTACAAAAGGAAACCATCGAAGACGATCTCCATCTTCACTCTGAGAGCAGTGAGTTCTTGTCGATGAAGAACGAGATCCTTGAGTATCCTGAAAGGAGAATGCTGATCGGTTACGCCCCTTCTGTCACCGAGGAGGGCCAATTTTACATTTGTCTAAGCATCGAGGCAAAGGAAACCGTATTGCAGCAAATTCAAATTCAGAGGCGGAGTCATGAGATTCGCGTGAGGAACGCCGTTTACAAGCAGCCAGGCAAGTGGAAGGATCTAGGAAGTGGCAAGGAGGTCGACGAGAACGTTATCAAGAATCAAAGGCCCCAAATCGAGATTGAGGTATATCACCTTACATGAAAATGTACTTACGCTTTTTCTCCATTATAGTTTCTCTTACAAATCTATGTAATAATTGAGCAATGTTATCCCATTGCTCAGATTTATTGCAAGAGATTAAATGGTCATACGGAAAGAGAGAAATGAAAGAAGAGAAAGAGAAAGAGGGAGAGAGAGGGAGAGAGAGAGAGAGAGTATTAAATCGTATTATCACGTACGATAAACAGGTCGTATCTACGGCGAATTTGCTCAACGTGCCAATGAATCTGGTAGACAGGAGAGCGGACGATCAAAGGGACGGATACATCGACTTGCTGCCATATCGGCAGACATTCGAGAACGTGTCACGAAGCACGATAAGCAGGCCCACGCAAGTGACGCCCAGCATCAAGGACAACGACGCCCAGACCCCGCCTTCAATACCCGTAAATTCCTGGTTTCAATACCAATATGAGTACAAGCCGATCGATATATCCGCCTTTACAGAAGAAGATATCGAGAATCTCACGAGATTTCTACGACGTTATACCGACATTATATGCGATCAGGTTTGCACTTTAATATCCGTCTAAATATCCTTTATAAATATCTACTTGAATGATTTTTATCTTCCTTTAGTTATGATTATTTTTCTTTTTTTTTCTTTTATTTTTTTTTTTTTTTTGTAAAACATACAAACTATTCATCGAAATAGGTGCAAATGAACGCGACGTGGGATATTTATGCGGACGATTATACAAATCTTGCGCAGTACGAAAGAGATACGAAAGCACCGATACCAGTAGAATACAGAGAATATCAAAGTTTTTACAGCAAGCTTCAAACGAAGAACAAGGTCATTAATGATCTATCTTGGCATCCTTTGTGGACTGGTATCGCTTGCGTGACCTATACTCATTACGGCAATTCAGAATACTTTTTGGGTCAAGAAGTGTACGAAGAGGTAAATAATAATATTAACAGTCATTTAGATAGTGATTTGGATCTAAAGGGCGCATATTAATTACAATAAATTTAAAAATATAGAAAAATAATCGTATTACAACGTTATAATTGTACGATCGTGCTTTCTTTTTTTGTCGTTTTATAGGTCCTCAGAGATTGTGAAGGTGATAATTTAGCATTAGTGTGGTCCTTCAATGATTGTTTGAGTCCAAAGTTGGTCCTGGAATGCCCAAGGGAGATCAAGTCAATCTCCATTTGTCCTTTAGATGGTAGGATCATCATTGGTGGTTGTGCGAACGGTCAGGTAAGCATTATATTCGAAACGATCAGGTATCGAGGTAAGAGAATTTATTCGTTACGAGAGTCATAAGAAGAAGGCACGAATAGCAAAACACTTTATGGTATTTCCGTTCAGATCGCCATTTGGTCCTTACCGGATAATATTGAAAGCATAGAAACGATAATAGATCCCACTTCCATTCAAGTGAAATATAAAATTACTCTACGGTCTCTGATAACGTGGATGAAAGATACCCTTAAATCGTCGATCTTAAGACCGGTAGCAATGTCCTCATTGCAATACAGCCAGAAAGCTGCTATAACCAAAATAACTTGGATACCGTCTTACTACAAGGTCGAGAAGAACGGTAGAATCACATCTTTGGAGAACGATACGACCTTCGAAAATCTTTCCATGCAATTCATTACCTGTAGCATGGATGGAACCATTGCCTTTTGGGATCTCAAGTTAGTATTCACAATGTTTGCGTATTATCACCGATCGAAAATATTACGATACCAACCTTTTCGTTATATGCTAAAATTCAATCTTGATAATCGCAATCGATGAATGCGATTACTCTGATCATTCTCCTTCGTTTACCTCGAAGCTTCTCCGAGTAAAGCTCTTACGAGCTTTAGCATTCTGTTCCGTTCGTCTTCCAAGCTCGTTTAAAGTCTTTCATCCTTCCGAGTGACTACGTCAGCGGCAAGCGAACTCATTAAAGAGCCGCAGGGTCAACTCGATGTTAGATAACGTGAGCTACGACCTGAGCTGCCAATTGATAACCACGAGCGAGAATTACACCAACCGTCTGCCGGGAGCGAAGTTAGTGACTTTGAATGTTCGTCCACGCCCCCTGAGGAACTTGTCGCGAGCTAAACGGCCAAGAGAAACGTCTGCATCCTCTGGCCGATCCTAACCGGCCATTCTCCGCGATCACCCACCACTTTCCATCTTCGCTTCTCATCCCTCTTCGAGAAACTCTCGACTCTGCCGAACTCTAATGGCCCTAGTAACTCCGTCGTATATCCACCATTCCTCGTGCACTCTCACTAACATTACGTACATTCGAAAATTGATGGATAGGTCCTCCTTTCTAATCATCGATTGCTCGTCAAATCGCATATCGAATTCCTTTACCTCCTTCCTATGATTGAATCCTAACATTCTCCATACACGGGTCTAATTAAAACGCAATCTGTTTGAAGGGAAAACATACCGAGAAAGGAGGAAACTAAGAAAGTAAATCAAAAAAAAGCATATCCTCCTATATTGATGGAATCTGTTTCACCCTTTCGATCGTTCGATCGTATTTGGAAACCATATTACATACTTTTCATTCAATATCCAAACGAGAGTCGTTATCCGATGTTAAGCACGTTCACCATGTACTTTCCGAAATTAAAGAAAGACGAAGCATTTCCAGTTATGAAGATGGATATTTCAACAAGACGATGCTTTAAATTCATATTGGAGAAACCCGATTATATAATGGAACCGGAAATTTTTATTGGCACAGTCGAAGGTAGACTCACTTTTATCATATCACATTTGATATTATTGTCAAATAAACGACGGATTATCGAAATTCACAGGTTATGTCGGACTTATTACTTGGGAGGGATTCGAAAACCTTTCAGACGTTAACAGTTTGACTAATCGAGAAAAATGCAAATGGAAGTGGATAAAGCGTATACACGATGGGCCGGTTACGCACATGGCGAGATCCGAGTTTCACAAGAATATCGTTGCTACCATAGGCGGACGTATTTTTGCTGTTTGGAGAGAGGACTTTGGAGAGCCGGTTATTTGGAAAAAATCGGAACTGCGGTAAGCGACGAAAAATCCAATATCGCTGCTTTTTAGTTCACCTACTCAACCCTCTCTATTCTTGTTTGTTATCACGTTCGTTATCATATTCATTATCACATCGATGGATCGGCTTAAATACATATAGACTCGGATATAGACATATACATATATCGCGATATGATGAAAGAAAATGTAGGTCATCGATCGACTAGAAATAGATTACTTGTCTAGGAGAAACGTCGATATAGAATCGAGAAGTGACAGTATGAATATACGTAAACATACATACGTGCCATAATGGGCTGCGTTTCATCCGTAGTAAAAATAACGAGCAGCTCGTACGATAAATTGCCGCAATGCACAGCATGTAATTGCCGCAGTAGCGTTTCGTATTGCTGCGCAAGCACCTCGCTCGTTTTGGATGCATCGCCTGTATGTAGTTTTCGCTAGTGGAAACCGAACTTTCGGTATGATCTGCATGACAATACAGCCATAACTTACGGTTACAACACGAGCACCAACACCGCTTCGTTAATGAAAGCTATTTTCGATAGAGCCCCTACCTTTCGACGTTGTTACACACATATACATCGTTTGGTCCAAGATCTCTTCATCGCCTGAAGCTCGGCTGGTTCTTGTTACGGATATAAAATACGAGCGTATAAAACGACGTTACGTTTATAAAATAAAATGAAACTTTACGTATTTAAATTACTTTCCGTAGACTTATTCTATGAAATATAAAGTTTCATTTTTATTTAGTTACTCGGGTTGCTGCTGGACCAACATCCGTCCAACGATTTTACTTTTGGCGCGATTAGACGGATCCATAGAAATTTGGGACTTCATCGTCAAGAGTCAAGAACCGACTATTACGCAAAGCGTGTCTGGCCATATAATTATGGGCGTTTATATACATGAATTACCCTTGGACCCACAGTGCATAGCAATCTGCGACTATAATGGTACTCTGAGGATATTCACCGCCCCTCCAATATTACTGACGTTCGACGTTAGCAATATTAAATGGATGCAAGATTATGTCGATCAGCAAGTCGATAGAGTAAACCGTTTATTTATCTTTTATTATCAATTTCCATTTCTATACGAAGTTAATACAAACGTACGCTTTATCCGAGCAGATATCTAAATTTAAAAACTGGCAAGATGCTTGGAATATAAAGAACTTTGAAAGGATCCATAAGAAAAAGAAATTAGACGAGAAGGAAGTAGAAGAGAAACGTTTAGAAGCAAAAATAAAGCATCAAGAAGAAATGGCCGAGATATTAAGGAAAGCCAAAGAAGAAGAAAAGACAAAAAGAAAAGTATGCTATAACTATCGAGCACTCTTACAAAAGAAAAAAATTAATGGAGATCAGTATTGCGATCGAGTTTATTAATCGCTATTGACTTTCGTTCTTTAGAATGATTTTTCTTTTAGTTAGATAGATTCTTTGATATTCGATCGAGTTAAAATAATATCTCGATTGGAATATTTCAGAAACGGAAGCCTTGGCAATTTATAGAAGAAACTAAAGAACGTTGGCGTGAGATGGAAATGAAACGCATGCAAATAACTGTCCTCGAGAAGAAAGGTCTCAGGAGGGACGTTCTTGAGAGACAACGAGCGCCAATTTTAAAATTACGCCAAGAAGCTCAGAGAAAAGATAGAAAAATTCGCAAGATTCTGCAAGAACGAGACCAGATTTTCAAGGAGACCATAACTTTTCTCTTTCCGGAGCAGGAAATCAATCATAAATCGGACGATCGCGATCAAATATCCTTGCCTTACATCATCCCGAAGCCCTTAAAAGATACAAAATTAACGACTGAAATCCCTATCGAGAAATCTAAGGTTCAAGAAGAGGTGAAAATGAAATAGAATTCATTACGATACGATTAGACGATTTCTTGAAGTAAACTCACGACTACTTAATCGTATTTCTTAGTTTAATTATAAAAAAAAAGAAAAAAAAGAAAAGAAAATCTTTAGAAAGATCATTTGTCTTTCAAACTTAATCTTATGAAAAAAAAAAAAAAGAAAAAGAAAAATAAATTTATTCCGTTGGCAGGCACAACGAATAATTGAGGAATATCACGCAGTCGAACAAGAAGCTTTGGAAAAAATGTTATATCAAGAATTTCGCCACGTGTTCGATTGGCCAACCGTTTTAAAGAAAGCGAGACAACGAAAGCACAGTATTTATATATAAAAATATCAATGAATACAATTTCCAATAGTATGAATTATAACGTGATGAAGATGGTAATGCAATTTTTCTCTCATCCAAAGTATAAGGTTAGAAAATTCATTAGAAACTATTTGAAACTCATGAGATAGTTCAAAACTCAAAAAAAAAAATAAAATATATAAACTCAACCAGATTCTTTCATACATAGGTATACATACAAATGTGAATATAGTGAATTTATAATAAACGTCGTTATTAGAAAACGTAACGAAGTTATAAGATCTCTGACGATACGATTGACTATTGTTTCTCATATTTCAATATCAAGTTTTTATTAGATATTTGGTATTATAAAATATCAAATATCATGTCAGCGAAGTATCTGCGTAATCAACTTAATTACGTAAAGAGCAACGATAAACGAGAAGCGATGAATCGACCGGCGAAAAGGACCAAAGCTGATGATGATGCAACTTCGGAGGAAAGAAATGAGAAAGACAGGGAATGAAAGAGAGAAAGAAAGAGAGAGAGAGAGAGAGAGAGAGAGAGCAAAATGTCTGGAGAGAAGTCAGACAGACGATAAAAGAGGAAAAGGAAAGAGGGAGGAAGATAGTCGACGCTCGACGATTTTTCATAATTAAAGCGGATTAAAACTCGCAGCGGCTTGCACGTAAATGAATTTGAAATTTCAAACTAGCAACGACGATCCAGCACTTTTTTCTTTTCATCTTCTCCCACTTTTTTCTTTCTCTCTCTCTCTCTTTCTTTCTCTATCTCTCTCTTCCTTTCTTCCTTATATCTTTTCATGCGTACGTGCACGCGAGCGCAAGAAGAAGGAGTCACAAGGGGTGGACCACAGAAACGGAGCCAAAGCAACTTGCTCCCCCGATCTCCCTGTGTGTGCTCTCTCCTTCGTCCTTTATTTCCCAAGAGCAACATACTCTAGCTTCTGATTTTATCCAACTCGACGTCCGCTCCTTCATCCGTGCGACGTTTCTAGCTACGCCGAAATGCAAAACGATCACGTTGACGTACGATCCACGTTTACAAGATTACACTCCCTATTCGTTATGACCCGAAGAAACGCCGCAAAGATTCTTCTCTTGCTCCAGGGACAAGCTGAAAAACCGTAGCGATCCTTTTGCCCCTTGGCGAACGTTTTTATTAATACGCGGTTCATCCTTTCTAAATTAAATTCGTATTTTCTTTGTCTACTTGTAAATATAAAAGAATCATTTTTCTTTTTTCTAAATCGTTATCCGACTTTTTTTTTTTTTTTTATATATATATATAAATATATGTTTTTCTTTTCTTTTATTTTTTTCTTTTTTTTTTTCTTTTAGAATTTAGAATTATCATAATATATTTCATTCGGTACCATAAATAAAACCAAATGTATTCTCTATTAATAAGAATTCTTACGTCACTTGTTACATCTAGTAGTTTTGATTTAACGTATTTTACTTTGGGAAACGTGTATATTAATTTACTTACATTGAAATCGTAGTATCGTCAAAGAAACCTTTGGCTTTGCATACGTACAACTGCTCTTAACTACTCCACTCCTCTGATGCTCGTTAGAGGCGTATAACCATTTCCAAAGCTCTTTTCGTATAGTGCATGTCTTGCACGTTGGACCTACGAACAGAATATACCATTTTCTCGTTCCCTGTCATATCAGCCAGTTTTCAACTTACTGTAAAGGAAAACGAGAAAGATTCGGCGCTTTCACCTTCCTTCGAAAGCATACCACTCAGAGATTTTCATCGGTGTACTAGTTCGCGTGCTTAATTCTCTGAGTTCCCAGGGAAACACGCAACCTATATTATATATCGCTCATATATCTGTAAAAAGTTATGAAAACTTCGAGCTTACCGAATGATCGAAATATTAAAGTCCAAGACAACCAAAGGATGTCACAATGCGAAGGATCTTTTCAAGCGCGTGCTTGGAAAAAAGAAAAAAAAAAACAAAAAAAAAAAAGAAAAAAAAAGAAAAAAAGAAAAACAAGAAAAAAATATAAATCAAGAGTTTAACTTATAATTATATAAATAATAACCTAACTTCGTTCCAATTACATTACGACATAAGTCAGCGCTCAGGGTTAAATCTGAGGATCAAAGAAAACGTGACTTATATGAATCTGAATCGTTAGTAATAATAATCTTTACACAAGGATGACGTTTACAAATTGCCAGTCGCCTTTTGTTGTCTTGTTCCTTAAATGACGATTTATCGTAGACGATGAGGAGCGAGATAAAGCGTTTCGTTCTTTTCGTTCTCTTCGATAAAAAAAAAAAAAAAAAAAGAAAAAGAGACAAACAAAAAAACAAAACGAACAGGAGAAACATAGATAAAGTTAATTGTCCTTCGTGTCGAGCCGTTTCATGTGCTACATTCTTATTACTATGTATCGCGCGTAAGGGAGCGAACGAGGTGGATTACTGATCAACCAACGTAAGTACAACGGACGGATCCTGTTCGACGACAGGAAGCGGCTTAAGGGAGATTTGTTCTTGCCACGTTTATCGTGACTTTTTGTGCGCTTCACGTGTTGGGATAGTAGAACCATTTAATCGACCGATCGATCGTTCTTTCTCTCGTATCTCCTCAATCACCGTAACTCATCATCGAACCTTATTGACAATCGTCTTATTTATACGGAAAAATAACTTCATAAATAAAATCGAACGATGAATCGCGAGACATATTTTAGATAAGTCGTACGTACATATTTTTTATTCTTCTATCTCTATCTCTCTCTCTCTCTCTCTCTCTCTCTCTATCTCTCTCTCTCTCTCTCTCTCTCTCTCTCTCTATCTCTCTCTCTCTCTCTCTCTCTCTCTCTTTCTCTTTATAGATATTGTTTGATTTACCACATTAAAGCCGTAAAGAATGCTTTCGATATCAACGATGTACGTATTGTATATGCAGCAAGTATTTCAAAGCAGATAACTTATTGTATGTACGCACGAAATATGTCCAATGGCGGATTTAGCCTTCAAGTGATCCGAAGCGTTACAAATTTCTGGGACCCCATTAAAATAAATCAATTCTATGTAATATACATATATATATATATATATATATATATATATATATATATTCTTGTTTCAACCATTCATGCAAATGATGAAGTGAGAATATGTACATATGTCACAAAATCGATTATAGTCGAAAATATAGAAATAAAAATTATATTTAGATGTTATATTAAATTTAAATTTATTAAATAAAAATTAATTATATAACATTAATTTATATCGTCGTTGCATCTATTCTCTTACGTTACGATCATCCTCCACCATTTGTGCATAAATCTACAATTGAATTTTTTTTTTTTTTTTTTTTTCTTTATTCTTTTCGTCATCATTCTCTAGCTATTACCACATTTTCCTCTATATACAATACAAATATCCATATTTTAGTTTTATCCCTTCGTTAGCGTAGCTTAAACAATTTCTACGCAATCCGTTGGTCCGTAGTGAAATACGAAGTTTATTAGTCGAAGCGAGTAAACGAAGAATTATCGAAGCGAAAGTCTATCGGCCAAGTAAATCGGCAATCCACCAACGATCACTGCAAAACTCGATGATTTTTACAACGGATTTTAGTATCTGACCACTCTGGCCATGTTAGTAATCGATACACCATCGGTCACCGTAACGATTTAACGACCGTCGTTATCACTCGTGCCTGTAGCCGATATCGTGGAAAAGCCCTTTACCGTTAGGTACACGCATTGGCCATGATTTCGAACAACACTGATCCGCGGATTCCACTGAGATTGATCGCTAAAATTACAAGTCTGGCGACAGAAATCGTGTCATCCTATCTCGTTTCCTCCTCCTCCATTTCTGCCCTATTCATACTGTCTCTCTCTCTCTCTCTCTCTCTCTCTCTCTCTCTCTGTCTCCTTACCTCTCTCTCTCTCTCTCTATCTCTCTCTCTTTCTTTACCTCTTATCTTCTTAACATATCGCGTAGTAAATTATTAACGTTTGATCATGATTCCTAAGACGTACGAATAGAACCAACTTAGAAAACTTTCACTCTGCTTATACCCGAGGAAACAATGGGCATACACATATTTACTAAGTAGAACTCAACGATGCATCGGAAGCACAACATTAATTTCGAATTATATTAACGCAAGAAGCTGATTCATTCCGCGAGTTGTTCGTTCACTCGTATATCGGATGCGAGGCAAACAATGTGTAAGACGAGAGTACTGCATTACCGTAATATCTAACACTTCTGACGTATACAAATGATCTTTCACGCGCACGCTTTCTCGAAACATAACATGATTTTTGGAAAATAACACGATAGGAGCGCATGATCTAACGATTAAATGGCTCAATCTCTAAAACCGAAATATTTAACCTGACATGAAAATTTAATTAATACCATAAGAAGTTATCTAAATTATTCAACCAGTTTCTCTCTCATATATTTTATTCTTATATGAAATATTTATAAATTATATCAATATATTGATTGCAATTAAATAATTTATTGAAATATATTGTAAAATTTTACTTTTCAATATTAATATAAAGTTACATCTTTATGAAAATTCAATATCGTTACCTCGTCGCAGTTGCATCGACGAAAATTAAAATGTTTTTATAACATTTCTTTGGGCTCACGATCGGATAGCATGACAACAATTAATAGAATGCGATATCAAGTAACGTGAAAATTAATCAGCTGATACGAAGCTTTCTATATAATTAATGTATCCATTAATTATCCAAGTAGACGAACAAAAATAATAACGTATTCCATTCAACATCGAGAACTTTGATCGATAGAACGTTCAACCGCGTACAAGAATCGGATAATTAAAATTTATGTCCGATTTAATTACTCAATTTTCGAACGTTTTACTATGAAATGCCTATAAATTACGAGAGAAAATCAATTTAAAAGATATACGCCAGAAAATTATACTATTCCTAAAAAAAAAAAAATAAAGAAAAAAAAATAAAACAAAAAATAAAACAAAAACAATTATGAAAATACTTAATAAATAACAATTTCTTCATATAATATATG